AGAAAAAAGAATGTGGCACTGAGTAAGCATTGATTGTTCATGTCTATCGATTCTGATTGTTGCTCATTATCATGTTTATAGAACTACATGTGGCATTTTTTTAACTATCATAAGCATCTCCATCTCACTTTGTTGTGAATAGCAGGGATGAACTAAATGAACATGCACTGGAAATCATGATTGCGATGGCTTGCTAATAATAAACATCAACAGGCCAAAATAAGCAAGATCATGGCTTGATGCTGCAAAGAAAATCCAACTTTAAATGCACGACCTATTTTTCTTATTATATTGTTATTATTTATTATTTTTTTTATGTATGCGTGCTTTGCAGTTGGAATTATTTTTATGATCATTCACGGTTATTTAAATGCTTTTGTGTGTATATTTGCTGGTTTATAAACTTGATTCCATGTCAATATTAGAATGTAAAATGCTAGGATCGGATGTACCATTCATTAAAAACCACTTCCATGTAAAGCTGGTGTAGTCTGTGTCTTTGGTGTGGATTTCAAAACAATACTTGGGACTGATAATAAAAGATGGATTGAAGATATAGGGGCATAAAATGTATATATAGTAAATCAATATCACACAAAGAGTGCTGTTTTTTCTCCAAAAGCATTATTACATATAGATTTTTTTTACAACAGCTCAATAAACAAGAAGTTAATTAAGAGACTTGCGTTTTAGACACCAGATCGCCTGTTTTTGCTCTATTTCGACAACAAAAATAATTCCTAACACAACCACCACAGCACAGTTTTGCGTCTTTGAGCAACATGACGGTGTTTCGTTCCTGAATGAATCAACCGTTTAAATGATTCGGTTCAATCGCGGTGACTCACTGATTAACAGGGACTTGCTGCCACCTACTGGCGGTTTCAATTTCACATTTAAAGTATTTTTAGATTTTTTTTTTTTATAATTTCAAATAGTATTCAACATTTTATATATCAAAACATTATTTCTGCATTTGTAACTGCGGGTTAAATGCATTCATGTTCTGCATTAAACAGTGAGTAAACACATCTAAATGCCACTTCAGATGCATCTTCTGTGTTTCCTCTGCATTGCAAAGATTAATTTTGTTGATATACTGATTTAATTGGTCTGGTAACAGCCCAAATCCCCAATTATTCTAAATAACTGATTCCTTTAATTAAAAACAACTAGTTTGACACCCTTGGCCTATCCCACTTTTGCCTCCCTCCCACTGTTAAAATGTAACTTTAAATGTAAAATGTTAAAATGTAAGTACGAGTAAGAGTACATTTTAAATTAGCTACTTTTGACTTACATGAGTAGATTTTTAGACTAGTACTTCTACTTGTACTTAAGTAAAATTTCATTAATGTAACAGTATTTGAGTAGAATATTTTCATACTCTTTCCACCTCTGATTTTGATTATTGTCAAAAGTAGGCTATTAGTACTCAGAGGTGTTTAAGCTAGTCAGAATCCACTCATTTTTCACTTAAGCAACACTTAATTGAAAATATTTGAAGGATGCATGCCAATATTTTAAAACATTTTCTTTAAAATTATTGTTAGTATATATAATGATTTTATTTTTATTTTCAAATAAATAAATAAAATACTTCCAATACATTTGGTTTATTTTGCTGTGGTACTGAAATTGATTCTGAAAATCATTTGTTGTAATGTATAATTAAGAGCTCATATTAAAGAGCTGATTTTATAGTCACGTCATGGCCATAAACTGTATGTTTTTAAAGACTTCTCCAGAGAGGAATATATTACTTTAAGGCGTTCTCCTTGTCTTTTATTCCCGTCATAATTAAAATAAAAGTGTCCTGGAAAATGATCACCGAAAAAGAGTGGGAACCCTGGAAAGTCATACAAATTATGAAAATAAATCTAGGAATTATTGGTTTGTTGGACTTCAGATCAGTAGGGGTTGAGGCATCATAAGTAACTAGCTGTTTTATGAATGGTAACTGTAATATTATTACTGAAATCTAGTCATTAGTAATTTGTTACACTGCTAGTTAAGTTGTTATTACTGTAACTAGTTACTGCTCATCCTATTCGAACCACCAAACGAGAAGTAGATGTACTTCTATGTATTTTTTTTATACTTGACAAATAGTAGCAGTGTATTTTTTTTTTGGCAAAGCTGATGCTCTAAATAACCTCAAGATGGCACAGCTAGACAGAGATTGAGTGAAAGATATTCCTGCTAATTAAAGTTGAAGATTAAATCTTAAAGGTGTCATATGATGCGATTTCAAGTTGTTCTTTCTCTTTGGAGTGTTACAAGCTGATTGTTATCCCAGCAACAGTTCTGTATTTGGCCAATCACCTCTGCAGGTACTGCATGGCTCCATGACGAGCGCTCTGGTTGGTGGACAGTGATGTAATGTTTTGGTGCAGGAAGAAGATCAATGATGTAATCATATTTCTCTGGCAGGCAATGCATTAATAGGAAAGGTGGTTTCAACAGACCTTTGGATTTCATTGAGTCATCTGGAAGCATGTTTGAGTGACTTTGACATCTTTGTGATGAAAACGTGTATTCCCTTTTCTTCCCGAGTTTATGTAAATATGTGTTTCAGCAGTTTTCCATCTGTTTTGTTTCTCAGTCAGTGGCTGTTATGTAAGTGTCAGTGCAGTTTCTAGTAGCTCAGTTTAGAAGGATTGTTTGTTTTGAATACCTTATTCTGTGAAAACCTTGCAGTGCTAAATAAATGGAAACTCTTGATGAATGTGTTTGTTTTAGTCAATTAGTGTGTTATTGTGCCGTTTTAGCATCATTCAACTGTCACATCTTTTATTTATTTATTTAAAAAAAATTTGGGAACATTTTGTAAGTAAACATTTTTTACATCAGAAAGAAATGTGAGAAAATAAACAAAAACAATTCGATAGGGTGGTATACATTCTGCTTTTTAACGTGTGTGTGTGTGTCTGTGGGTGTGTGTGTGTGTCTGTGTGTGTGTCTGTGTGTGTCTGTGTGTGTGTGTGTGTGTGTCTGTCTGTCTGTGTGTGTGTGTGTGTGTCTGTCTGTGTGTGTGTGTGTCTGTCTGTGTGTGTGTGTGTCTGTCTGTGTGTGTGTGTGTCTGTCTGTGTGTGTGTGTGTCTGTCTGTGTGTGTGTGTGTCTGTCTGTGTGTGTGTGTGTCTGTCTGTGTGTGTGTGTGTCTGTCTGTGTGTGTGTGTGTCTGTCTGTGTGTGTGTGTGTCTGTCTGTGTGTGTGTGTGTCTGTCTGTGTGTGTGTGTGTCTGTCTGTGTGTGTGTGTGTCTGTCTGTGTGTGTGTGTGTCTGTCTGTGTGTGTGTGTGTCTGTCTGTGTGTGTGTGTGTCTGTCTGTGTGTGTGTGTGTCTGTCTGTGTGTGTGTGTGTCTGTCTGTGTGTGTGTGTGTCTGTCTGTGTGTGTGTGTGTCTGTCTGTGTGTGTGTGTGTCTGTCTGTGTGTGTGTGTGTCTGTCTGTGTGTGTGTGTGTCTGTCTGTGTGTGTGTGTGTCTGTCTGTGTGTGTGTGTGTCTGTCTGTGTGTGTGTGTGTCTGTCTGTGTGTGTGTGTGTCTGTCTGTGTGTGTGTGTGTCTGTCTGTGTGTGTGTGTGTCTGTCTGTGTGTGTGTGTGTCTGTCTGTGTGTGTGTGTGTCTGTCTGTGTGTGTGTGTGTCTGTCTGTGTGTGTGTGTGTCTGTCTGTGTGTGTGTGTGTCTGTCTGTGTGTGTGTGTGTCTGTCTGTGTGTGTGTGTGTCTGTCTGTGTGTGTGTGTGTCTGTCTGTGTGTGTGTGTGTCTGTCTGTGTGTGTGTGTGTGTGTCTGTGTGTCTGTGTGTGTGTGTGTGTGTGTGTATGTATACAATTACATACAGTGCATATATAGTCAATTATTATTTGCATTACAGTATTCAGTCCATTTCTTCCAGTATTTTAGAAATGAGTTCATCACATATCGTTTAATGGTGTTTAATTTGTCTAAAATATTCAGAAAAATGAACAATAAAAGTGGAGAATTAGACAATAAGTTCACTGTTATCTGTTTAAAACGTACAAATCATGTTAAATAATCTTAACCATCAGCATTTAGGGGAGGTGTGTGTGTGTGTGTGTGTGTGTGTGTGTGTCTCTCTCTCTGTGTGTGTGTGTGTGTGTGTGTGTGTGTGTGTGTGTTGAGTTCCGGTACGGCGGCCAATCACAGGCGACAGCGCTGCGGCAGTCCAGCCAATCACAGCATAACAACAACACACGATTTGCATAATAATCCATTTTGGCTCAGGAGCAAATGCCAGAACACTACGGCACAGGCTGTACGCTCGATCCAAAATGGCGCTACAGTGCTACTTGAATCGCATTACAGCACGCTTTAGAATGCGCCTCAGCCATTGGTCGGTTCTAGATACGGTCCTGCAGATTGACAGTGAACGCATCCAATGAGAAGCCCGCTTCCTGTGTCTTCCATCCAATAGGATCGCAGGTTCTCCAAGCCCCTGTCAGGCGTACAGTAACATCACAGCTGATTCTGCCTGGCTCAACGAGGTTATGGTTTCGCTAGCTGCGTGTTTTTTCTGCTTTTTTTTTCTTTGACTAATTTTTCCTCAGTTGCACACAGCCACAGCTTAGCATATGTGCAGCTCGAGCTGTTTAATAAGTTGCCAGTCACGCTTGAAATATCGAAACCAGCGATTGTTTGGACTTTTGGAGGCCGTATGTTTTATTTTAACGCATTTTTTCAACGACCAATCAAGATTTTTTCCCCCTTTTTTTATTGCACAACACTATTGCCTACCGCCTCGCTGGACGCATATCAAAATTGAGGTTTTTTTATTAAACGAGAAGGAATTGGGGTTGAATGCTGTTTGTTTTCCAGCCAGCACAGCAGCACCAAAGCTCAAATTATTAGCAAAAATATCACCAGCTGCTTTAATATACTTTTTGTGTGTGCCAATCTGGCAACCCGCGCCCTCACATCGCTCTGACTGAGCTGTCAGTCCAGTGTTTTTGCCTTAGGCACGCTTGAAATATCGAAACCAGCGATTGTTTGGACTTTTGGAGGCCGTATGTTTTATTTTAACGCATTTTTTCAACGACCAATCAAGATTTTTTCCCCCTTTTTTTTATTGCACAACACTATTGCCTACCGCCTCGCTGGACGCATATCAAAATTGAGGTTTTTTTATTAAACGAGAAGGAATTGGGGTTGAATGCTGTTTGTTTTCCAGCCAGCACAGCAGCACCAAAGCTCAAATTATTAGCAAAAATATCACCAGCTGCTTTAATATACTTTTTGTGTGTGCCAATCTGGCAACCCGCGCCCTCACATCGCTCTGACTGAGCTGTCAGTCCAGTGTTTTTGCCTATCTGTTTCCCAGATGCTCTCTAGTTAACAGCGTTTGCTGTCAGCATCAGAGCCTAGTGCAGAGCTAAAGCTGCGAGTCATATCTGTCTGACAGCTCATCTATAAAAGTCTTCAGACCTTCCTTAACCTGCATGCTTTCAGGAGGAGTTGCCAGATTGTGTCAGCCTGGAAGGGGTTTTGTTGTCCGAAATCTGGTTTAATATGAACAGGACTAGTTAACTAGTTACTTCTTGGCAGCTGAGGGACATTTTTTATTCGATTTTATCAAAACCAGCGTGTTTAGATTTTTTTTTTACACCCCATTTTTTGTACACATTTCTGGTTTTCTCAAATATCAACAAGAACCACATCTAAACATCTCCCTCGCTGCCTTATGCAAGCAATACTTTGTATTAAATTCGCCTGCCTGGGTTCTTCTGGAGGAGGACGAAGCGCTCTGCAGCGAAAGGCTGCTGCTTATTCTTTTCTGACACGGATTGTTGGTTTTTAATCGCTGTTTATTGCTTAAAATGACGGCTATTGAGAAACTGCAGATGTTAATCGAAGCAGCTGAATATCTCGATCGCAGAGAAAGAGGTAAAGACGTATTGCAACATAAGCCTTATAAAATGATACTTTGCATGCAAATGAATCCTGACACTGTTGCTAGGGTTCTTGTCTGCTACAAAGCAAAACAATTGGGCTCTGACCTGTTTGTTTATTTAGAGGCGAATGCATGATATGCACACGGTGTGTTTTCTGTTGTTGTGATATTTGGGGAAGATCATCAAGACAGCTGTCTGGTCAGCACACATAGGGGACACTACTGTGTCTCTAACCCCCTCTAGGGTTAAAACCCAAGCGCATATGGCAGAGATATATATTTTTTAATGATGCCTGATGGCGTGTTTGTGCGCAAATGTGGAATTGCAATCAATGCATTTTTGTAGCATTGCATTGCTGTTGGTTTACAGTGGAGGGATCCCTGGTGCATCCCCCCTCCTGTCTATCTGTTGTGGTTCTGCTGGCTATTGGGTTTACTCCAGTTCAGATGACATCATTTACCCAAAAGCAAGACATTTGTCAAGAAATGGGTTAATTGTAACATGTATAGCATCCCAGGTTCTAAAAAACCGGTCAATATTTGTAATCAGTGGCTTTGATTTTCAGGTAGCCGGTGTGCTTTGTGGTCTAATGAGCTTCTAAATGTCTCTGTTTGGATTTGCAGAAGCGGAGCACGGCTATGCCTCCATGTTACCCTTCACCAGCAACAAGGAGAGGGATGGCTTGAAGCGAAAAATCAAAAGCAAGAAAAATTGCAGCAGCAGGTACTTCCATCTAGTTTCTGCGATAACGGAAACGCTCGTGACGAAATTCCGAACAGAGTCAATCCTGAATGCATTTTAGAGTTTTTACCCAAAGCAGATTTTAAAAGTTGTTCAAATGAAGTTCTTAGCAATGCATATTACTAATCAAACATTAAGTTTTGATATATTTACGGTAGGAGATGTACTAAATATCTTCATGGAACATGATCTTTACTTAATATCCTAATGATTTTTGGCATAAAAGAGAAATGTATAATTTTGACCCATACAATGTATTGTTGGCTATTGCTACAAATATCCCCCAGCGACTCAACACTGCTTTTGTGCTGCAGGGACACAGATATAAATACAGTGCAATCAGTTCGGACATCGCACAGTGCTCATTCAGTAAATGCACAGCTAAACAGATGAGTTTTGAGTCTGCATTTAAATGTGACTAATGTTTTAGCACCTCTGATCTCTTCTGGAAGCTGATTCCAGCTGCGGGCGGCATAATAACTAAAAGCACATTCCCCTTGTTTTGTGTGAACCCTTGGTGTTTCTAACTGACTCGATCCTAATGATCTGAGTGCTCTGTTAGGTTTATATTCAGTGAACATATCAGCAATGTATTTAGGTCCTAGGCCATTGAGTGATTTATAAACGAGTAAAAGTACTTTAAAATCAATCCTAAATGTAACTGGAAGCCAGTGTAAGGACCCAAGGACTGGTGTGATATGCTAGAGTCAAGGTATGCATTCACCTTGAGAACTTCATCTTTGTTTCCGAATGCAATGACTTCAGGTTTTTCCTTGTTTAACTGAAGAAAGTTCTGGCAGATCCAACTGTTAATTTCATCAATGCATTGGCAGAGGGAGTCAATGGGGCTGTAGTCATTTGGAGATAAGGCTAGGTACATCTTGCAACATCTGTGATATTTTATTTGCATATTGCATGTTTACACTTATTCTAAGAATAGCAGTTGGTGGAATGTAAGTGGGTTAGTATCTTGATCATATTCCGGCTGAACTTAAGCATGCTTTAAAAAGATGCAAGAAGTGTCGGTGCACCAAATACATCAGAAACACACGGCCTCAGAATATGCACGTAACCTACATTCAGCACTGGTGTTAATGCATCATGCATGAAAAGTTTTTGCGTTTCAGCTCCTCGCATCTCTCCAGCTGACTCATTAGACGGCTCTCCCGTCCATGCACACTGCTTGGAGAATGGAAAGTGATTCATTCGCTTCAGCTTTGAGTTGTGCATCCGATGGCGGAGCTTGGAATGCCATTTATGCATACGTTCGAGTGTGTGTTTGTGAAACCCTTTATTATATGTAGGTCAGCTGGCTCTCCTATCTATCTTTCCCTCCAGCTTATATAGTATATGACAGGGCTCCTCCTACCTCTTGCTTATATTCAGACTGTATGTGGGCTAATGCACACAGCGGCAGCCGTGGGTTCTCCTCTCGTTCCTGTGTGAATGTGTACGCTGGTGCCATATTTTAAGCCCTTCTTGTATTCTCTGTGCAGTTTTAATGCTGTGTGTGTGTGTGTGTGTGTAAACAGTGTTGGGAAGGTTACTTTGGAAATGTAATCGGTTACAGATTACAAGTTACTCTATTTAAAATGTGATAAGTGGTGTAACTATTTCAGTTACTTTATTAATGTAACTGATTACTTGATTACTTTTCTGAATTTCTAACAGAACTGATAATTATTTTGAAACATTTAAAGCAGGCAGGGTTAACCTTACAGTAGAACTCAGCACTGATACTGTCAGACTTTCAAAAACCCTTCATCATTTGAATTAAGATTATAAAAATGTAATTTTAAAGCACAGCCGCCACAAAATCAGACTGTCGCACCTCTTTTTACGTTGAGATTTTTCTACAGATTTAAAATCACAACAAGATAGTTATAGTTTAATAGCTATGAAACTATGAAGCTATTGCGTAACTATGACAGGAAACACTTGCATCTAGCAATGCTTCGGAAAAAACAGCTAATAAAATAAAGCATATACATAAACCTAAATGTGTCCCTGCAGCACAAAAGCAGTGTTAAGTCGCTGGGGGATATTTGTAGCAATAGCCAACAATACATTGTATGGGTCACAATTATACATTTCTCTTTTATGCCAAAAATCATTAGGATATTAAGTTAAGATCATGTTCCATGAAGATATTTTGTAAATCTCTTACCGTAAATATATCAAAACTTAATTTCTGATTAGTAATATGCATTGCATATTAGATTTTTTTGCTCCCTCAGATTCCAGATTTCCGAATAGTTGTATCTCGTCCAAATATTGTCCTATCCTATCCAAACAAACCATACATCAAGATGATGTATGATTGATGTATCAAGATAATTCAGATGATGTATAAATCGTATGACTGGTTTTGTGGTCCAGGGTCACAAATAGTAAATAAAACAGTTATCAAATAATCATGTGTTCTATTCTGTGTCCTAAAACATTGCTGTCTCATATTTTAGAGCAGTCAGTGCAATTTGGGAAAGAAATCAATCAAATCTGTATGTGTGTGAAAATATTCATATGTAACCCCATTTGTAATCATTAAAGACATATTATGCCCCTTTTTACAATATGTAATATAAGTCTCTGGTGTGCCCAGAATGTGTCTGTGAAGTTTCAGCTCAAAATACTCCACAAGTCATTTATTATATCATTTTGAAAATGCTTATTTTGAGTGGAAGCAGAAACACGCTGTTTTTCGTGCCTGTCTCTTTAAATGCAAATGAGCTGCTGCTCCCCGCCCCCTTTTCCAGAATAGAGCTGCGCCATTACTGCTACATTAGAGCTGGTACACCGTTGTCGCTTGCAAAATCAAAATGATGGAGCCGTGAGTGTACACTTACAGATTAAGGGGCTGTGATATTATAATGAGATCTCTTTGTCACGTCACCAAGAGAGCGAAATCAGACGCGCTGGTTTTCTCAGACGCTTGCAGAAAAAGGCTTCCCAAAACAAAGTTACTGGGTTAATCTTTTTCATGTTTCCTTGGTTGGTAGATGCACCTTGGACCTGATTATGGCACTTACAACCTGGAAAAGTCAGATTTTCATGATACGTCACCTTTAACATTTTCATAAGTAACTGTAATTTAATTACACATTTTTTCTCGATAACTGTAACAGATTACAGTTAAATTTATTCTGGGTTACACTTTATTTTAAGGTGTCCTTGTTACAGTGTAATTATATATTTAAGTACTGAGTAATATTAATGTACTTACTATATAGTTAGGGTAAGGGTGAGGGTTTGGTTTAGGGTTACTTAAATGTAACATGCAACAAGGACACCTTAAAATTAGTGCTGTCAAACGATTAATCGCATCCAAAATAAAAGTTTTTGTTTACATAATATATGCATGTGTGCTGTGTATATTTATTATGTGTATATAAATACATGCATGTATATATTTTAGAAACATTTTATGTTTATATATTAAATATATTTATTTATAATATAAATTATATGGATATAAATATAGACATGTAAATACATGTAAATATTTTCAAAATATAGGCATGCATGAAAATAGCTTTAATGCTGGCATGGCATTAAAAAGTGAAAAAATAAATAAATATGCATGCATGTGTGTGTATTTACAGTATATATACATAATAAATATACACAGAACACACACACATATATTATGCAAACAAAAACTTTTATTTTGGATGCGATTAATCGTTTGACAGCACAATTTAAAGTAAAGTGTTACCTTATTTTCTAATAATTCTGTTACATTAAATTGTAATATTTAGCATTATTACTGCTTTCTTTTTAATTTTAGTTTAAGCAATTTTCCTATGTGATATTGTTAGTGCTGTCAAATGAGTTTTTGTTTACATAATATATGCATGTGTGCTGTGTATATTTATTATGTGTATATAAATACATGCATGTATATATTTTAGAAACATTTTATGTTTATATATTAAATATATTTATTTATAATATAAATTATATGGATATAAATATAGACATGTAAATACATGTAAATATTTTCAAAATATAGGCATGCATGAAAATAGCTTTAATGCTGGCATGGCATTAAAAAGTGAAAAAATAAATAAATATGCATGCATGTGTGTGTATTTACAGTATATATACATAATAAATATACACAGAACACACACACATATATTATGCAAACAAAAACTTTTATTTTGGATGCGATTAATCGTTTGACAGCACAATTTAAAGTAAAGTGTTACCTTATTTTCTAATAATTCTGTTACATTAAATTGTAATATTTAGCATTATTACTGCTTTCTTTTTAATTTTAGTTTAAGCAATTTTCCTATGTGATATTGTTAGTGCTGTCAAATGATTAATCGCATCCAAAATAAAAGTTTTATTTACATAATATATACAGTATGTGTGTGTGCTGTGTATATTTATGTACTTATATGGTATATATTTTAAAAATATTTAGAGGTATCTACATGTATATATTTATATAATGTATATTATATATGAATATATTTAATATATAAACATAACATATTTTTCTTAAATATATGCATGCATGTGTGTATTTATATACACATAATAAATATACACAGTAAACACTCATATATTATGTAAACCAAACTTGTATTTTGGATGCGATTAATCACGGTTAATCGTTTAAAAGCGCTCAATTTTATTTATTTTCATTTCAGATTTAGTTTTTGTTTTTATTTCCAGTTGGTAATTTTAGTTCTTATTTCAGTTAGTTGCAAAGTCACTTTTTTTTTTCTTCTAATTTTAGTTTAGTTTAAGTTTAAAAAAATGTATATTTTATTTTTATTTCAGTTAACAAAGTATTAAAATATTAAGTTTTAATATTAGCTAACAATAATAACCCCGGCTAGATGCCGTATTTAATGTGAGTCTAATGGCTGAGGGATAAGTATTCAGTATGTTTTACCATTGTTTTACATTTCCAGCCAATAAAACATTTAAAATATGTCTTTCCAAAGAACATGTAATCCTTCACAGCTCTGTTAAATTAAACTAAGGGCCATAAACGTTAGCTGTGATAAGGTGTGTGATGTTTTCTTGTGTTCCTAAAAGGCAAGTTTAAGGGGTACATATCTTCTGCTCAGACATCAGAAAATTTTAGTTTAGTTTAAGTTTAAAAAAATTTATATTTTATTTTTATTTCAGTTAACAAAGTATTAAAATATTAAGTTTTAATATTAGCTAACAATAATAACCCCGGCTAGATGCCGTATTTAATGTGAGTCTAATGGCTGAGGGATAAGTATTCAGTATGTTTTACCATTGTTTTACATTTCCAGCCAATAAAACATTTAAAATGTCTTTCCAAAGAACATGTAATCCTTCACAGCTCTGTTAAATTAAACTAAGGGCCATAAACGTTAGCTGTGATAAGGTGTGTGATGTTTTCTTGTGTTCCTAAAAGGCAAGTTTAAGGGGTACATATCTTCTGCTCAGACATCAGAGGTATTTTTAGAGTGAGGGTTACTGCAGAAGGGGTCTTTTTCACCTTCCAACAAAGAAAAAAAAATGTTTCAAGACAATAGTGCATTAGTTGTGTGAGTAAAGCTTAATTCGTGTGTTTGATTGTTCTCATGGTGCTCCAGAGAATAATGTGGTTTCATCGCACAAACCTGCACAACCTCATTTTTAGCAAGTTTGATTCTTTTTCAACAGTGCATAAAATGCAAACAATCAAAATTCAAGTCATTATTCACATTTTCATCAGAAAACATCCTCCCGTTGGTAGTTATTGCTTTGTGGTAGCATTAATGTGCAGTGAATATGATCTTTTTTTTTTTTTTTCAGTGCAAGCTTAAAGGCAGTGAAAGCAAGCTTTAGTTTTCTCCTGTCCTCCTCTGCTTTGCTTCTCTTTCACTCCTCTGTTGATCTAGAATTGGCCTGTCTGAAGCGAGCCTTCGTTCTCTACCCCACACCGATGGCTTGTGTGTCTAGTTACTGTTGCTAAGCGGGGGCCGAGGGCCTCTGTGTTTTGCGAACGTAGAGAGAGAGACCCCTCTGCCGTTTTAGTTTGTTCCTGTACAGCCTTTATACACACACACACACACACACACACACACTCACACAGAGACACACACACGCACTCACACACACAGAGACACACACACAGACAGACAGCAGCAGTTCACCTTTGTACTGAACATTCAGATCAGCAGTGAGCACAGGACAATATCTGTGTGCGTTTCAGAACTAAGAACAAGAAGGTGATGTTGGAGTCGTAGCCTGTTGATTAGTTCAAGGGCTTTTAAACATTTCAATGGCAAGAGTTCCCAAAAAACTACTTTATATTAGTATAATATGTGACCCTGGACCACAAAACCAGTCATAAGGGTAATTTTTTAAAAATTGACCCTTATGACTGGTTTTGTCGTCTAGGTTTATATCTGAAATCGAAATAAATAATCTTTCCATTGATGTATGGTTTGTTAGGATCGGACAATATTTGAAACTCTGGAATCTGAGGGTGCAAAAAAATCTAAATATTGAGAAAATCATCTTTAAAGTTGTTCAAATGAAGTTCTTAGCAATGCATATTACTAATCAAACATTAAGTTTTGATATATTTACGGTAGGAAATTTACAAAATATCTTCATGGAACATGATCTTTACTTAATATCCTAATGATTTTTGGCATAAAAGAGAAATGTATAATTGTGACCCATACAATGTATTGTTGGATATTGCTACAAATATCCCCCAGCGACTTAACACTGCTTTTGTGCTGCAGGGACACATTTAGGTTTATGTATATGCTTTATTTTATTAACTGTTTTTTCCAAAGCATTGTTAGATGCAAGTGTTTCCTGTCATAGTTATGCAAAGATTCGATTTCAAAAACAGTTTGTCAAACGATTAATCGCAATTTATCGCATTCAAAATTCAGAAAATCAATTCTATTCACAGCGCTAGTTTTTAATCAACTGAAAGAAACCGGCTGAAAGATTTTTATTAGTTAAAAAATGAATGCTGTCAAATGATTAATCACACGCAAAATAAAAGTTTTTGTTTACATAATAGATAACTTGCACTAAATATCACAAAGAAAAATGTAATTTGCTACAGCAGGAGAAGGCACTTTTGTATTCTGTTTTGTATACAATAAATTACGAGCTTCAGAACGCACAGACGAAACGCGCTCATGTTATTATTTTCAGAGCCTGCTGTTTGGGAACGCAGTTCAGGGCAGTGTTCATTCTGACAGCAAATTTTGATTTAGTTTATAGTTCTTCAACATTAGTTCATAAGCAACTGCTTGGCATAAATGTGCATTTTTGATGCTCATTAAAGAATTTATTTAGTAAAAGTGTTTCGATCGTAGTTTATGCACATGTTTTCTTACCAGATAATTCTTATTTATCCTACTTGGTTGAGTGCATACGTTTTGTATGTGCATTTTTAAATTTTGCATCTTGGCGTTTCCATCCAACGTTTTTTTTTTTTATGCAATATCCCAAAATGCGCATTAAAAATAGGTGGATAGAAACATAGCTATTGGGATCCAGAACTGTTTGGTTATCAACATTCTACAAAAATATCTTGTTTTGTGTCCCATAAATAAATGCATACAGGTTTGGAATGAGTATCATATTTTTAATTTTTGGGTGAACTATTCCTCTAACTTTAACAGTAAAGCATGGAGATCGCAACACCAAGATCATGGGTTCGATTTGCAAGGAATGCATAAACTTGCTTTGGATAAAAGCGTCTGCCAAATGCTTAAACGTTAGTGTGGATAAAAAAGAATAAGCACAGTGATCCCTAACATCTCTGTCTCTCTGTCTCTGCAGGTCTACACACAATGAGATGGAGAAGAACAGGTATGTGCATATAGCCTTTGTGGCGTTAGTTCTTATCTGTAAGCCTTCAGTATTATACCTCATTACATCCTTACTGATTAGATTCAGATTAAACTTCCTCGTCTCAGTTATTTTGGAGTCCACTAGCGGCCAGATAATGCTCAGAGATGAGTATTAAGGTTGATGTGTCCATTCACCTGTGACCTAGAGTAAAAATCTATTCATAAATGAATCACGATTCTGTCTTCTAACGGTTCTAATGGATTCACAAGTTTCAAAATCAGTGTTCTAAAGCAGCGGTTCTTAATCCTGTTCCTCATGTTCCCTGCTCTGCACACGCTCTACATCTCTCTCTCTCTCTCTCTTTCTCTCTCTCTCTCGCTCTGCATCTCTCTCTCTCTCTCTCTCTCTCTCACTCAGCTCAGCTCCAACAATGAACTGTTCCAATCATACACTTATTTTCACATAGCTATGAGAAGTGTTAAACATGGACGCGCATGCGGTTGCTGTATTGTATTAAAGCTTTAATCAGGATAAAACCGTATATTAAAAGCTAACAGAAGCAGTAGCATTTACAAATAACAGCGCATCTAAAAGTATGAGACGACAACAAACAAAAAACACAGGCCTACCATTAAAAGCCGTGCTTGCACAGGTTCTGCACGATCCTCTTCACTAATATCCTCTGCTTCTCAATCGAGCTCAAACTGATGAGCGATATTAACGACGCCGATGTTTACAATACAACCGGAGCACATGCCGCTGAGGAGAGGGGCGGGACGCTTAGACGCGCACTAGAGGCGGTCACAACACACTGGGCTAGCTGACCAATCAGAGCCCATCGCCTATTTCTGAGGGAGGGGCTTCATAAAAGCAGGAAATGATCAGCGCGTTTCTCAGAGACGGGACAGAGCGGTGTTTTTTTTTTATTTTTTAAATGAAGCATTAGCACATGTTAGACTGCACCCCATAAACACAATCAAGCCTAGAAAAAAAATAATGCATGCTGTCAGACTCAGCAATGAGCAAAACCAGGCTTTCTGGACTTTGACTTTTAAACTCCTAACAATGCATTCATTGGTGCTCAGCAAAGTGCGTCTCGGTCTGCGTGCAACTCGTGCAAAGCTCTGAGGTCACAGCGCTCCGGACAACTGATCTGCTATTCATTTCTGAAGAGCAGCTTTCGTCTGCTGTTTAGAAAAATATCCAGGCGAAGAAGGAAAGCGAGGCTCCCCGTGTCTCTGCTTTTGTTTCAGAATGGGTCCAGGGCTGATATTCATAAAGCAACTCGAGTGGGAGTGCATTTGTGATGCAGATTTGAATAAATGGGCAGCATGTCTGATGTGAGACCAGCACAGCTGTGTAGTAATGATTCATGTGGTCGTGAACCTTTTTGGCTCAAAATATACACTACCGGTCAAAAGTTTGGGATCAGAAGGATTTTTAATGTGTTCTTCTGCTCATCAAGACTGCATTTATTTGATCAAAAATACAGGAAAAAATTTAATATTGTGAAATATTATTATGATGTAAAATAAAGTTTTTCTATTTTAATATACATTCAAATCTGATTTATTTTTAGAATTTTCAGCATCATTCCTCCAGTCTTCAGTGTCACATGATCTTCAGAAATCACTATAATATGCTGATTTATTATCAGTGCTGAAACTGTTGCTGCGTCATATTTCTTTGGAACCTGTGATACTTTTTTTCAGGATTCTTTGATGAATAAAAAGATAAAAACAACAGTATTTATTTAAAATAGAAATCTTTTCTAACAATATACACTAGCGTTCAAAAGTTTGGGGTCAGTACATTTTTATTTTCTTTTTTTGAAAGAAATTAAAACTTTTATTCAGCGAGGATGTGTTAAATTGCTAAGAAGTGACAGCAAAGATTTATATAGTGAGAAAAGATTTATATTTTGAATATATCAAAGAATCCTGAAAAAAATATCACAGTTTCCAAAACAATATTTGTCAGCACAACTGTTGATAATTCTAATAATAAATCAGCATATTATACTGATTTCTGAAGATCATGTGACACTTTACACTGGAGTAATGATGCTGGAAATTCAGCTTTGCATCACATGAATAAATTATATTTTAAAGTGTATTAAAATAGAATCCATTATTTTATATTGTAATAACATTTTGCAAGATTACTGTTTTTTTCTGTATTTTTGATCAAATAAATGCAGCCTTGATGAGCAGAAGAGGCCTCTTTAAAAACATTACAGTCTTACTGATCCCAAACTTTTCACCGGCGGTGTATATATATATATAACAAAGCTGCTGTGGACGATGCCAGCTTAAATCAGACTCTTTCCCGATCCCATTCCCACTCTTTCTCTTTTACTTGGTAGGGATTTTATTTTATTTATTTTATGTGTGAATTAATTACTACAAATGTATTTGTCATTAGTCATTACATCAAAACCAGTTTATCATGACGTAAATGAGCTGAAATAAATGTTTTGTTGAAATATTGTTCTCTACAAGTAAGGAGTAATTAGAGTTAGATCTTTATTTAGTTAAAGATTACATTTTTAATTCAGCAAGGATTCATTAAATTAATCGAAAGTGACGATTTCTAAAGATGCTGTTCTTTTGTTCTTCATCGGAGAATCCTAGAAATATAAAATGCATCACAGTTTCCACAAAATTACTCGGCAGCACAACTGTTTACAACATTTATTTTAAATTGTAATGATATTTTACAGTATTTAAATGTATTTTTGATGAAATAATGCAGCTTTGGTGATCATAAGAGATGTCTTTCAAAAACTCTGACAAAATCTTACCGACCCCAGACTTTTGAATGAATGAATTCAGTTGAATAGTATGATACATAATTTCCCTAAATATGACTTTCTTTACAGTAAATCAGTTTGTTGAATGGTGTGAGGACCCTATTGGAATTTCTCCATTTCTTCTTCTTCTTCTCCAATCTGAATTGCATTTTTGAGGGCCTAAACATGCTCCAAAACGCATGAAACTTTACACACACGTCAAAACTGGCGAAAAATGTACGTCTGATATGGGTTTCAGAAGTGGGTGTGGCAGAATGGCTCGATAGCGCCACCTATACACATTCAACGGAGTGCGCCTCGAGCTACGTTTCACGTACATGTATGAAAATCGGTACACACATGTAACACACCAATACCTACAAAAAAGTCTCTTGGTACAAAATCCAAAACCCAACAGGAAGTCCATTATTTTTAATTTCCTGTACGATATTTGTGCAGTTTTTGCCATTTCCAGGCCTCGTTTTATTTGATTTTATTTTAGTGTTAACTAATTAGGTGTAAATCTCTGAATGTTTGTCAAAAGTAGAGCGGTTTTGTTTGCACCCGCCTCATAGTTTAGCACTGTGACATTTAAATAAAACAGCTGCCGTGAAAGATCAAATCTCACCTGAAATGCCCCTCAGAAACCCAGCTTCTGGGGTGAATGGCTGTCATGTGAAATGTCACACACCTGTATCGTGTGAAACCGTTACTTCTGTCCCAGTGACCTCAGTGTCACACATGGCATGCATCTTCACCCTGCACCAGTTCTAGGCCACATGTCACACACAGCACAGCGAAAGGCTGTTTGTATGGCTGCCAAAGAGCATACACACACACAGCTGCTGTAAACAACAGCAGACACACACCGTCTCAAACAGAAGCACAGGTCAGGTTTGCCTGCGAGGCGATGTGTTTGCTCTCCAGTGGGGCTAAGGCGATTACTTAGAGGCCAGAGGTCAAAGGCCAGCAGAGGATGGTGATTTATGCTAAAAGTCTTATGGTTTGAATAAAGAGAGCGTGGCCAGATGAGCAGATGCACACTTTCCTACAGAACTGGGGTGGTCTTTATTTGTAGAGACGCATGGCATGTTGTGGAATAACCTTTCATGTTTACACTGCTATTTGGGGTCAGCAAGATTGTTCAGATGTTTTTAAAAGAAGTCTCTTTGCTCAGCAAGGCTGCATTTATTTGATTAAAAATGGAGCAAAAACAGGAATATTAATACAAATGTAATTCATTCCTGTAACGGTAACGTCTTTGGTGTCGCTTGATGCTTCAGAAATAATTCTGATGTGCTCATTTCTTATTATTATCGATGTTGAAAACATTTGTGCTGCTCCATATTTTTTGTGGAAACAGTGATACATTTTTTTCAAGATTCTTTAAAGGAATAGTTTTTCAAAAATGAAAGAGGATTTTTAGGATGAGTTTGTTTCTTCGTCAGATTTGGAGGAATGTAGCATTGCATCACTTGCTCTGCAGTGAATGGGTGCCGTCAGAACGAGAGTCCAAACATCACAATAATCCACAGCACTCCAGTCCATCAGTTAACATCTGGAGAAGACAAAAGCTGTGTGTGTGTTTGTAAGAAACAAATACGTAATTAAGAGTCCTCTATCCATATTGCTTACTCCAGTGAAAAAGTAGTCCGGTCTGAATCAGGAGAGAAATATGCACAGTTCTAAATAAATATGAAGGTGGATTTCGATGTGAATTTTCACTTGACAAGCCATTATTATGGCTCATGTAGTGGTATTTAGGCCTGAAGAAACAGTTTAAAGTTAAAACACTGATGAATAATGGATTGCTTGTGGATTATTGTGATGTTTTTATCAGCTGTTTGGACTCTCATTCTGACGGCACCCATTCACTGCAGAGCATCCACTGCTGAGACACTGATGCAATTCTAGTGTGGTGTTTTTTTCAGACTAGTGGAAAGAAAACATCCAAAGGACACTCTTAAGTGTTTCTTCTATAGCACTTTATCTATTTGTGCCAATAGATTTCAATTACAGTACATATTTTTTGAGTTTTTTCTCCTACACCGAGCCATAAATCTCCTCTTCAGTAGCACTTACACACACCAAACTTTACATTTATATTCCTGTCTGTATTCTGAAGGTTTTTACAGAGGGATGTGTTCATATATAATTTGCTTGATTATATACAACATTTTGTTCCCCCCAAAAATATAGTGTTTTGTGTCCGTTCTAAGCATTTTCTGAATTGTGGAGTGACAAAAATGAGAATTCCCTCTGTAACAACTTTTGACTCTAATATGTCCAAAAAAATTAAACAAGAATTTTGAAACTGACATCATCCAGTGTTTAGAATTTTGTACTAGAAATGTATGCAAATTAGTGCATATTTAATTAAATAA